CGCCATTCGCCCGGCCTCCTCCCCCTCGGGGTCGCCCGGAAAGTGGGCTTGCGCACCGGCGCCCCCCCAGCACGCCGACCCGAGGTGTACCCTCCGGCCACCTGGGAGGGGCGCTCCCTCCATTTTTGGCCCATTGGCTTCACCATGATGGATACGGAGATGGCCAGCCCTTGGTTGTGCACCTGCGACGCGAAGAGGAGGTGATCTCGGCGGACGACGGCCATGCCGAGAGCGGGCGCAGCGCGGAAGAGGGTGCGCAGCGCGTCGCGGCCGCGCACTTGGGAGCCGGGGGGGATGACCGGAGGGGGCGGGACGCCTGCATGTCCTCGAAGCTCCCAACCGCATACGCAAGCCGAGCCGCGAACGGCGGCGAGAGAGTTTGGCAGGGTCAGCGAGGACCGCGCATGGCGAAGGAACCTTTTTTAGGACCCAGCGCAAACACCGTCTCCCATCGTGTACGCGGTATGAGGAAACCCACCCGCGACACGGTGTGTGATGTTACTTGTGACGCACGTCCGTCGCTCACACCTCACTCACTCGTCCGCTCTCCATCTCTCCCTCGGCCTTCCCCTTCTCCGCCAGCGTCCACACGTGCACAACGCCGTCGTCGCCGCCCGCCACGACCGCGGTGCCGCCGTGCGTCGCCACCGAGCGCACTCCCCACTGGCGCGCGTGCGACTGCGCTCGCAGCGTGCGCAGCGCGGTGGCGGCGCCGCGGCCGGCGGCGAGGCGAGCGACGTCGAAGAGCATCACGCAGATGTGGCCTCCCTCGCCGTCCGCCGAGAGGGCTCCGCCCGCCACGAGCAGGTGGCAGTCGAGCGCGACGGCCCACACCTTTGCAGCGCGAGGGCGGGGAGTGTGGGACCGCGGCGGCCAAGCTTTGCCCATCGGCCAGCGGGGCGGAGAGACGCGTGGTATCACTGCGCTGAAGGGCGCGCGCCTTGCCCGGCAGCTGCAGCGTCTGCAGAGAAGCTCCCGCGTCGTTGCTCCACCGGCTGTAGCCGTAGTACGACGGGGCGCTTGCGTCGAGGCCATACTTCTCAAACTTACGCGCGTGTCCGTGCTTCATCCCCGTCGCCTTGGCCACCTCCGCCCGCTGCGAGGCGTCCATCCGTTGGAGCGACTCGAGGTCGAGGTACCCCGCCGCGTCAAAGGCGGCGGAGTACCTCTGCAGCCCGATGCGGCCGAGCGCCACGGCGACGTCCGTCAGCGCCAGCCAATACACCCGC